GTTGTATTGTTCCTGTTGGGTATTAAATCTCTTTATAGTCTCAAGCAAGATACACTAGAAAGAATAGAAAATTCAGTCATGGGCAGCCAGCTCTCAGGATACTTAAATTAGATTGAGCAATTGATGAAGGACTCTTAGTGCATCAAATCATTTAAGGCCTGTATCTGGTATCTGACCTGCTCTCATCTTTAAGGTTTAAATAATAAGTCTGGTATTAAAACCAAGCAAACAAAAAAAGTGATTTCTATTACTGCAAATAAGAATATTCTTTAGTCTTACAGGAGGTTTAACAGCTGTATAGCCTCCCTCTCAAATTTGGCAGAGGAGGAGTAATGCTTAGCCAGAAGAATGTTATTTCCTCATCTGGAGTTAGTCAGCTTTTCTCCTGGAATTACACGGATGATATCTGTGTAAAGTCCTAAGACAGTGCCTGCCAAAGTGAAATAACATGCTCCCAGTGATATTGCCATCAGGCTCAAAAGCAGCTGAGATTTTGGGGCATGACATGCTGTTCCCACAGAAGCCACAACTATAACCCATAAAATGGGCAGGGTTTTAAGGGAACCGTAGCAACCTTTGCCAGAGCTTTCCTACCGTCTCTAACTCAGCTATGTTCCTGCCTCCATCAATATTCTCATGGGTATTTGCGAGTCCCCAGTGCGTTTGAATTTGCTATATGGCAACCAGAAGATGAATGTCTGTAGTATCTGTATGGATACATATATAAATAAGGCTGACACGCATACATTATTTATTTTGCACATACTAAGCACAGTGAGACTCAGCGATGTGAAGCTGACAGGCTGTTTTAACGTTGTATACAGTAGACAGAAATATGGCTGAGTTGGGATAAGCTTTATTTTTAAAGAAAAAGAGTTTGTTAACTCCCATCATAAACTACCTAGGATATTGTGTATTTAACTGATCTTACTTTGATAATGCTGTAAGCTGGTCTTTGATAATTGCTTTCTGTAATTGGAACAAATTTATGATTATGCTAATTCATCTGCTGCCACCCAATATGTCATAGCTGAGTTAATCCATATCTGCCCCTGCATTTCTTCTGTAGATCATTACGTGATTAGCCTTTTTTAGAAATTGATGGGGGTATTTTAATTCTGAGCAGATTTAATTTCAGGGGAAAAAATCAGATATCTTTATATAAACTTATGGCATATTATAGCAGTTTTTAAGTCTAGTTCAAGATAGAAACATTTAAGATCTTCAGACAGACTAATTCTTAAAAAGAACTATATTTCATTGCATTACAAGCAACTGTATGATCTCCACTGATGATAAAGCGAGGGAAGTTAAATGCTAATGAGTTTTGAGTCTACTCTTCAGGCATTGCAGGCTGGCAATTCAGAACGCCGTGCCTCATTTCAGTATGGAGACATTGGAGGTTTCTTTGTTGCCTTTATTTTGCTTGATTGTTTTTTGTGTGTATTTGTGTGTGCACTGAATTTCTCCAAAGGTTGCATCGCTGCAAGTGACAACAACCTTTTGTCATCATGAATCCTTCAAATTTATCAGTTTATTCTATAAATTCATCCCTTAGTTCTCCATCTTTGAAAGCATTTCTCTGCTGAGGCAAAGGCAGTGAATGAGTTTGAATAAGTCTGTTTTTTCTTCAAGGGAGGGGAAGGCTGGAATTAGAGATGAGTATTCGCAGTGTCATCAAGCCTCCAGATATGCAAAAGGCAATGCATGCCCTCACTTTCAAATCAGCTTTGGATTGCACATCTCTCAACACTTTCACATTTATGTTCTGTCTGTTTAATGCTCTCCCTTCACCGTGATCATAATTCTTTTAAATGCTTTGCATTAATGTAAATGTTTTTCATTCACCAAGCCTTGTGGTCCTACACTCAGTGGATCAGTGTGTGCTCCCTCCTGGAAAAGTTGTCTATGGGAAAAATAGCCCGAAGTGCCAGTGTAACAGTAACAAGGACCTTGAACCCTCCTGTCGCCCCTTCACCACCCCGCAAAAGGCCCTGACCTGATGAGAGTCAAAATGCAAAATTTATATATATACTTGTGAAATAATGAACTCTAGTAATACTAGACATGTTTGTCATTTCTTTGAACGTTACTATGTTTGTCATTACTGTGCACATAAAGTGAGTTTAATTCTGACTGCAACCATTGAATTTCTGTCCCTTGATTTATGCTAGTGCTGCTGTTCCATAATTTAAATTGCATTCCTAGTTTCTTTGCTGAAACCCCCTCTGATAATCAGTATTAAAGTTAACTGCAGAAGGGAAACTGAATAGTAAATGGATTACTTGATTGTTCCTCGTCTTACTCAGACCGCAGGGAAATGTAATACGTTCATTAAGGGAAGAGTTCAGCATTACTGGATTTAGTAAGGCTGTTTGGTTACAGCTCCGGAGCTGTGCCTGGCCATCTGCGGTCAATACGGGTGAAAGTGTCAGCTGTGTCTCTGAGCTTGGGGAATGAAAGGCAATGAGTATGAATGCTAGCCACGTGATTTCCTGGGATGCTTCTAGCAATGGAAATTAGAATGCCCAAGCTACTGGGTGTGTTAAGTTCATGACAAAGCATGATTGCATCTCCTAACAATATGAAGGAAAGCAAATTCAGGGAGTGAGACTTTTGGTGAAAAATCTCCTCAGGGTTTACCTGAATAAGTGTACCTGTGCCGGGCACTGCCTGGCCGTTGATGTTGTGGGGCATACCTTAGAAACTCACTGCCTTGAAACTTCGCTCTAAATGTTTGTTCTGATGTGCACTGTAGCATACAAAGTCATGCGGTCCCAAAACTCGTTAAACTTTTGTGAAGGAGATTGTTTAAAAAATAAAAGTAAAAAAAGTTAAGATTTGAGAGGAAAAACAAAACAGCATTATGAGAGAGCTTTATAAGAATGCAGAAATAGACAGCTATGTCTTGAACGCTTAATGTAAGCTTTGAAGGCGACATTCTGTCTTTGTTACCATTTTTGGTTAACTGTGGTTTGAGGAAAAGTATACAGAGCTAAAATCTTTTAACTACTTTCGGTATGAAATGTATAATGTACTTCATACTCAGGTAATGCCTCTTTTGACAGATGTGTAAAATAATCGCTTTATTTAATTCCATAGTCACTATGTAGGATAACAGTGCCACAGACCTAGATTCTTCTCAAGGTAAGTTCCCAGCTGACTGCTGTGGTGCCGGGACATGAGAAGCTATGGATGCGTCAGTCACACACCTTCTGTCCCCACTAAGCAAAATGACTGATGCTACTGGAAGGGGAACCTGCTGTCTGGCATGAAATCTAATTGGCTTTGATGGTCAGCTTTTGCAGATTTGTTTATAAACTGGAAAATCTACAAATTGCAGACCATCTGCGCGGAACAGTGTGCTAATGAATGCCTGTAGCTAGCAAATCCATAAGCTCATTACCACAAAGTTCCAAGTCTTTCCACAAGTTCCTAAATGAGGTTATTCATCGGAACTGAGATGAGAAGGGTATTTGACTTCAGGGTACAGCCATACCTCCTTCAGGTCTAGAAAAGCTATTAAAATAACTCACATTTATTGAGTCTTTTAACAGAATCTCTTGATTCTGGTTCTATTTTTAATTTTTCACTTCTGTAACAGCAGCTTACTATGCCTTAACTATTTTTTTTTTAATGTTTCAAGTAGAGAAATGCCTTGCAGTTAATTCCTGGGTATACTCAGAGATATGTTGGTTGGTGAACTAGAGAAGATGTATGGAAATATATTATACACAGCATTTCACGGTATTTATGTACCTTGACAACAAACACTAATGGTCTCTGGTTTAAGAATGTTTATGTAAATTGGGAATCCACTATGATGACTTAGCTCTTCCACTGTGTGTGATGTCAAGCGATTTCATCCTTCTGTCTGTTTCTCTCTCAAAAAAAGTGGAATTAATAATACTTAATACATGTCATCGCAATCTATTATGAAGCTTAACTGATCATTGTCCAATTGTTTGAACATGTAAAGCACTGTATATTGAGAGCAGTATTTTAAAATATTTCTTATTCTCTCTCGGTTGAGATTTTCTTCCATTTTCTTTGAGTAAAAATCGGCCTTTCTAAGTTACTAGCCCACGCCGCCTTCCTCTGAGGTTTGGGGTGGGGGTGGCAAGTGGCAATCATTAGCTGACTTTCACTTGGACTGCTCATCTCCATTGGTCATGTTTCTCTTTCTGCTACTTGAGTCAAAACAGGTTTTTCCCTATCAGATTAATGAGGTTGTTAGCCCAAGGCATCAAGCGCCTTGGTCTGGCTTTACAGGTTTACAGACTTTTCCCGTTTTTTCATTCTCTTAGGGAAGCCAAAAGGGCTCTCCTAAATAGAACAATAATTGAATAAATGAATAGTTATAATAAAAACAAAATACACCATATAGATTCAAGAACAAATATAGAGGAAATAATAAGATGCAGTTATTTAAGAAAATTATTTCTGGTTCAAGCTTTAATACTTAATGGTGAAGAGAACCAGGAGGTAAATGAAATATATTCAACTAGAATGATCCAGTATTTTTTATCATCAATTCTTGATTCCTTGGATTAAATATTAAAGCCTCGTAACTACCTAATACCACAAGGAAAAGTGTGATTAATTGTTCTCCTCCTTTTTTTTTTCTATCTTCTTCTTCCTCATCTCTCCTTCCTTTTCTCCCAGTAGAACAAAAATAATGTTTCCCTTATAATCCACACCCTTGCAACTCTGAACGAGCTCTTTGCCATTTTTTTTTCTGTTCTTTTATTACTTGTTATTTTATTATGTTCTAACATTTCATTTGGTGTGCCATTGTTAATAGGAATAGTTCCTTTTCTGAATTTGTGAATGTCTACCTTTTTGGGAATCCCATCCTAGCTTCATTTTTACCTTAATGTTCATAATAAAGATTGCAATGACATTTATTAACGAAATCACTGAAATACAATTTTGCAGATTTCCTGCTTCCATCTTTTCTTTTCCTGCTTCATGTTCTTCTCTGCTCCATCCCTCCCCAGGTGGAATGGCTAAAGAATGAGGAGCCCATAGATTCCAACCTGGATGAGAACATTGACACCAGAGCAGACCACAACCTCATCATTCGACAGGCACGTCTGTCTGACTCTGGGAACTATACCTGCATGGCTGCCAACATTGTTGCCAAGAGAAGGAGCATGTCTGCGACAGTTGTGGTGTATGGTCAGTGAAAACGTGATAATTATGGAAAAAACTTAGATGTGTGTGCTTTTATTGCTGGAGTACTTTATATTTTTAACATACAACTGGTTCTAAATCAAATGGTAACCTCCTTCCTGTTATGATGAATTTCAGTTCTGTTGCTCAAGGCTGAGATCATGCCTGCTTTTAGAGTGGTTAGAATTATGAGGTTTTTGTTTGTGATGGATTCCCAGAAGTTATGTCAATAATAACAATCCTTGCCCCAGATATTGAGAAGATCCAATTATAAGCTAAACCACATAAATAAGCCTTGCCTGTATCGGGAAACCCTGAAGCACGTGCCTAGGGAGGTACATAAAGGGCTGCCTTAATTGGATCTGTGGTACTGCAGTGTCCAAGCACTGACTAGTGAATCTAGATGTTAACAGCAAAGGACAAAAGAGCAGAACCATTGCTTTATTACCATCTTCTGTGCTTGCCATGTTTATTACTGCATGTGACATTTTATTGGTGGAGGGCAGAGCATTTCTAAATCACTCTTTTTAAAATAAAGAAGTCTTGTTTATGATTTAAGCAAAGCATATTCTATGAGAATTGAGGTGCCTGCTTTTACCTCCCTCCCAGACTCTCTCAGTCATTGCACTTCTTAGCATATTACTCTTCCAAAACAAACATTTGTGTTCTTTGACACCATGGCCTTTATGTAGTTGTGTACTGATAGGCAGCAATGCTCCTACTGCAGCTTGGAATTTACCTGTAGAATGTAAAACCAAAATTCTGCCTTTGAATGAAATGATCTGATCAGATTTGTTGCTTGAGGTCTCTTAGCCCACGTACTGCAACCTCAAGCATGTTTGTGTTTTGCAGTTAATGGAGGCTGGTCATCGTGGACTGAGTGGTCAAACTGCAATGCACGGTGCGGTCGGGGCTGGCAGAAGCGATCACGGACCTGTACCAACCCTGCTCCACTCAACGGAGGTGCATTTTGTGAAGGAATGTCAGTGCAGAAAATTACCTGCACTTCTCTTTGCCCTGGTGAGATATACACAGTCTACTAAGGAATAACTTTGGATGTCACATTTATGGGAGAGCTCTTTCAGTCTGAAACGCCAGGTAGACAGTTGTGCTTTGAAGAGCCCACGGAGGTCAAAAAGGAAATTGGAAATACTTGCATCCTTGTTTAGACTACAGCTCGGAGCCTTGTGCAGGGTCTGAGCAGTAGTCACAAGCACCTGTGGCCTGATCTGCCAGGTTTGTCAGTGCTTTAACTTACACTGCAGCTAACTAAATAATAACAAAACAGCAACTGGTTCAATATGAAAAATCACCTAAGCGGGTGGGGGCATAGGGAAAGGGGAGGTGATGTTAGTAACGCTAGAAACACAGAAACCTAAGCTGAGAACTTCACTTAAAAGTATTTAGCTTGCGAAAGTTTGCTTTCAAGTATATTAACCTTTTGAAATTGAGCTTGGTGTTACATCCGTGGACACTGTACATGTCCTCATTTGTTCACCTGAAGCCTCCCTTATCTGATCTTGGAATTGGTGTTTCACATATACAGCTAAAGAAAGTTAGTAGGATTGTATGCATTGTATGTTTTAAGAGACTATGTTTGCCTGTGGTCACAGCATAACTTGTGTGGATTCTGGCAAATCTCTCTTCTAGCTTTTATGAGTTTTTAGATACAACATGTCCTGAACTGGGATTTAAAGAACTTAATATTACTTACATGTGTCTCTGTGTTCATCTGACCGTTCTTCAATCTGATTTATGCATGAAAAAGAAAGGGAACTGTGAAAACCCTTCTCATTTGGGACAGGGTCAGAGACAGCTATAAATCAGTCAGCAAACCAACATATTGATCCATTGTCTTGCTCGGGGCATTAGCCAGAAGTCTACAAGGCCAGCTATGCTCTCTTTGTAAATGTCAGCATCATTTCTCTGGTAGGAAAATGTGTGGCCTCTCTACATCAGCCTGTTTTAAGGTAGAATTTATATTGAAACATTAGAAGCTAATAGCTAGGTGGCAAAGGAAATGTTTCCTCCTGCAGTTTTAATTGACTATATTTACAGAATGTTATATACTGGTGCTATTTTAAAAGCTTCCATATTGCACGCTTGAGGTGGTACATTCTAATGATGGATTTTAACTTCACATCTGATGAAATTATATTTATTTCTCCTGAGAATTATACTTTGTTTTACTTGCTGTGACCTGAGGAGAGATATGAATCAAGTATTCTTGGTAGGGACCTCTTAACTACACCAGTTTGATATGCGGTGATGATGCATGTTTTTTCTTCCTCCCCATTCAGTGGATGGAAACTGGGAGGTGTGGAGTGAGTGGTCTGTGTGCAGTCCGGAATGCGAGCATTTGAGAGTTCGGGAATGTATTGCGCCACCTCCAAGAAACGGAGGGAAGTACTGCGAGGGCTTGAGTCAAGAGTCGGAGAATTGCACTGAAGGGCTTTGCATTCAAGGTGAGTAACAATTGGCATTGAATTGGATTTAGGAGGTATGGCCTAAAATGTATACTGTAATCCAGGTAATGTAGTGTATCTGCCACACACCCATGTCAGTAGAACTCTTCTGGTTGAAATATTACTGTGAAAAAATAGATTGTTTTCAAAGGGTTGCATATGTGAAGTTTGAAATCCACAGTGGTCTCTGAGTCACTGGATTTGTGTAGCATATACTTTAGCTATTAATTATCAGATGATTCTAAAAATCCAAATAAAGGTTTTTTGCAACGTGTAATTATGACCACCTGCTACACCATATTTCATGGAATGTACTACTTAGCCTTCTACGTTCTCTTGCAAGTAAATTGGCAAAGCACCAACATGAATACTCTTGGTACAAGAGCTGTTTAAGGTCAAAGTTTACTCCATTTGTTGCCTTTAACACAGAAGTTAAATAAAGGCAAATATACTCTGTGGTGAGTTCCCTGTGAAAGGATTTGCCCTTCATAAATGTCTGGAAAGCATCTGGCATTCGGTAGTTGCTACTATCAACAAACAACTAGGAGCCAAGAAGATCAGCCCTGCAGCTGTAGCGTTGCAGAACACCCAGGGACAGCTGCATAGTGTCAAAACAAAGAAGAAATTCATGGGTTTATTCCTACACTGAACACTGCTCCCTGTCTGTGAAGCGATACTGTCACCTCATCGCTTTCTAGCAATGAAGTGGCAGCCACGGGAGCAATCAGGAATGCTAGGGCTGAAAGATGTAAACTTAAATAAGTCTACTTTTTCTTTAATTTTGTATTTAAATAGTCCTCTTTCTTTGTTTCTTTGGTACTGCATTACCCTTCCTTCTTGACTTTTTGCATATGTGTGTTCATGTTATGCCTAGCAGTCATTTTCTTCTTCCACCATGATGCACGCAACAGAAGGAATATGGCTATAAATCGTAAGCCTTGTGCTTCTAACCATCACATACGTGCTTACAGTAGTGTAAGTGCCTATGGCCTTCCCCCATGTGCACCCTCCTAATACTGGTTGGCAGTTTTAGAGAGAAAGAAACAGCCACTGTGCCCAGCCAGTTCTTCAATGAAGTACATATGGTGAGATGAAGAAAATAATTTTCTAAACAAAATTTTTTGCCCTGAGATTTTAATAATTTCTCAATGGCAGATAGTGTCCTGTATATTTTTCAGGCTTCAGAAATACGTATGCCTCAGCTGATACTTTAAATAAGATGTTGTTTGGCTTTGGAGGGAGGGAATACCCAGCAGTCTTGCTTTATGTCTCTGACTACTCAAAGTTTCCAGGGTTACAGAACAGCCCTCCAGCTCCACGGTGTCAGGCAGACAAGCTTCGGTGTTTAAAAGGACATAAATGAAATGTAGATTTTTTTTTTTCCTTCCCCATGTTTTAAAGAAGACTAACTACTGAGAATTTGAGAGCACTGCAATTCATTCAGCTTTTGAGGCCCAACGTGGTGATCACATGATGTTTTCTGAGGTCTTTCTCCTTCTTCTACATTAAATGAATGCCCTTCCCTGCAGATGGCTTGATAAATCCAGAATCCATTCAAGTGTGCAGATTACCATATCCATTGGAAGACTGTCAGAAGGATGCACTGAAAGGGGCGTGAAAAGATGCAGCTGAGGTCTGCACAGTTATTGTTTGTGACAGGCACGAGTTGACTTGCCATCTAGTTGACTCCCTCTGTGGTTTTCACCAGAGTTAATAAAAGGTGGCCCTACTCAGGTCATTGCTTCCAAGGAAAGCCTTAGCAACACTGCAGGGAGGTACAGATGACCTGTCCTACCTTAAGAATAATACCCTTTCATATTGTGTAGTTATGCGTCAGTCCTGTGTGTCATCTTCTATGCTGCACTTACGCTTTAGAGGTAGGGGAACAAATACGGTATTATGCTTACTTTGGTAGTCTGAAAGGAGCATGTGGCCTGGGGAAGAGCTGCGGTTATGAAGCACTGAGAGTCATGAGGCATTTTACTTGATGGCGATGGCTTCATTCCATGGGGAAGTAGAATCATAGAATATTTTGGGTTGGAAGGGATCTTTAAAGCTCACCTAGTCCAACCCCCCTGCCGTGGGCAGGGACATCTTCAACTAGATCAGGTTGCTCAGAGCCCCGTCCAGCCTGACCTTGAATGTTTCCAGGGATGGGGCATCTACCACCTCTCTGGGCAACCTGTGCCAGTGCTTTACCCCCTCAGCGTAAAAAATTTCTTCCTTATATCTAGTCTAAATCTACCCCCCTTTAGTTTAAAGCCATTAAAGTCACTGAAACTCCTGGAGCCCTTGTAGCACAGTTGGTTTTCAGGTACAGACTGGGCCTCTGAGCATTGTTGTATCAACAAGGTATGGTATCACATGGGCTTTTGTTGGTAGCTTCTCCAGCTGTTAATTTCTCCATTCTTAGCCTCTCTCCCTCTCTGCGGAGTTCATCCAGACACTGTCTACAGGCAGGTTTTAGAATGTCCCTGTTGCGCTCTGTTCAGTGGTGAATTATCACTTTAATATCAGTGCGAGTCCTCCTCAGATGTCACAGAAGTGCAAAAGGTTGGTGCTGTGCTTGCCAGCTGTCTTCTGAGGACTACCTCTGACGTTTACTGCTAATTCCAGGAGTGCATTTTCACAAACTATTCTAGGATAAAGCCCTCTGAAGCTTTTTGTATGAACAAAGGTTTCATATACCAGTGAAATGAAATCTCTTTATCCATGTTACTGCACATAGAGGAAAAGGGACTGGGTGTTCTGTTCACAGACATGTTACCAGTGCAATGTTTGATTTTTTTTTTTTTTTTAAATGTGTCTGTGTTCCCTAGAAGACGACTGTTTTTCATAGTAAGAAATATAAAAGCTGCCTTGTAAAATTCTCAAGGGTGAACTCTGTACATGTTGTGTGCCTTTATTGAAAACATGCTTTGTAAGTGACTGCTTTCTCTTAATGAGCAACCTTTAGCCCCAGGTTACCAGTGCTGAACTCTGAATAAGGCATTCAGGTTCTAAATCTGTATGGCCTGCAGCTTTAGTGAGAAGCTGGTGTGCAGGTTCCTTCGACAGAAAGAGAAAGGGGCTAGGATGTCAGCTGGTCCAAAACAGTTCACTTAATCTCAGAGGGGGTATGAGACAGGGGAGGGGTTGGCTTTTTCCAGCAGACACAAATGTGGTAGTTTTGGCTGTGGAAAATAAAGCAGATTGCCTTCTGAAAGGTCCTGCAAAGGAACATCACTAGGAGTTGAAAGCAAAAAACTTGAGGCTGTAAGGAGCCAGTTGCCAATTCACCTTCCTTCTGAGAGGGGAAGGGAAAAATCCCCAGACGGTTGTATCACTGATTAGCTATACGCATATAATGCAGTCCCATGATAGTTGTTTCACTGATTAGCTATACGCATATAATGCAGCCAGAGTATTTATTTTTTTCTGTTATTAAATTTAATGCCTATAAAAGATGTCATATTGACAACCCTGGAGACATAGGATCTCTGTTTATCTGTAGAATAAAATACAATAAAGTATAGCTTTCCCTGCGATTGCTTTACTTAAGCTCCTCTGTTAATGTGCCCTATTAAGAACTCCAATAGCAAGCGTTGAAAGAAAGCCCTTACCACCAAATTATTTGATAGATGGCTATTGGAAGAGTTACAACATGGCAACTAACTTAGTTTTAATAATTATCTGATATTATTTTTAGTAGTAGTAGTATTAGTGGTGGTGGTGGTGTTGTCTGTCATATGCTTTGTATAAAATCAAGTTCTTTGGATCAGGTACTGTCCCTCTGCTTTATGTTTGAACAGCCACTGGTGCAAAGAATATTATTATTAATGAACCACTAATTTACCTGGCTAATGGCACTGCAGTAAAAAGGAAAAATGCCCAACAAGTTGAAATCAACTAGCATGGGATTTCATCATTGCCTTTTCAGAAGAATTTTATTTTTTCTTTGCCATGACATATTTAGAATCACTTTATAGATGCAATTTTAAGAAAATGTAACTATTTTGCACAACCATGTGCAAACAGAAGTGAAGTAAACAGTGTATGTCTGAAAACAAGTGTCTGGAATAGCAAAGGCTTTCTCTTTCAGAAGCAAATCACTTTTCTACACATGGGACTTAAAATGTTCTTAATAGACTTAAAATGTTCTTACTACACTATGCGTAAAGAACGCCTTCTTTAAATAAATGGATCGTTATGGGTAAAAAGACAAAAAGCATTTTTTAAAATATAAGTAAATTTTGTACAGATTTAATCAACGTAGTGTCAGCTGTGAAACAAAGTCTGTAAGATATAACTTCGATGTTGAAAATGAACTATCAAAATCATTTTACAAAGGATAAGTGGGTTAAGTAATAAAAAACAAATTTTCTGATTGAATTGAAAAGCTGTTTAAAATCTAAGAAAAGACAAAAAGCATTTTTTAAAATATAAGTAAATTTTGTACAGATTTAATCAACTTAGTGTCAGCTGTGAAACAAAGTCTGTAAGATATAACTTCGATGTTGAAAATGAACTATCAAAATCATTTTACAAAGGATAAGTGGGTTAAGTAATAAAAAACAAATTTTCTGATTGAATTGAAAAGCTGTTTAAAATCTAAGCCTACTAGGGATGCATATGTTGACATCAAAGCAATACTATTTAAAATTAACAAAATTAAATTCTCAGCTTATGCTGAACATCGGGGGGGGGAGGGGAAATCTGCTGCTGCTGGATTTTCCATGGAGAAATCTCGCTGGGTGAAGTATTTCTATTCCTTTGATAAGGTGAGATGGCAGTTAAAAGCTGTGAACTAACAACAATACTCTAAAATTAATTCAAAGGCAAATATAACGGAAGATTTCTCTCTGCTGCACACACCAGCAATTTTTCACCTAATATTGGGATCAGAAACTGATCTCCAGGTATTTTGTGGGAAAAAAAAATCTACTCCAGTGTAATTTGGAGTCGAGTGTGTTGTCAGTATTATCCTTCACATATAACAGCACTTCACTGGAACTGAGTAAGCTAAGTAGTAAAAGAGGAAGCTAAGGCCTGCTGGTATAGAAGCTGTTACTGTTAGGTGACGAGTGGAGCTGGGATCAGCCCTGGCCTACGTGTTCTTCATGTTTTAAATGAGCTCGTCTCCTCCTTTTGCTGTGATGGGTAGTACCAGGGAGTGCGTGTTGGTTCTGAAAGTTGAATTTCCATATGCATTCAAACAGACTGAAGTATTAAGTGTCTCTTGTTTCTTTCATCTCGGAGTGTGATCCTATTACTCCTTTATGGCTCGTGCTGTATGTATACACTTGTGTCAAATTATTTTTAGGACTGTAATTGCTTTCTCAGCTAATAGGAATTGATGCAATTACCCTATTTTTTAAAATCTTTTTCCCCGGTTCATCTTCCAATATGTGCCTTTTCTGCTCTGCTTTTCATCCCATGGGGAATTGTCAAGGAAATGCAGTACTGTGCTACAGAAAACTAATCTCTTGGAGGTTATTTATCAGGCACAACTTGTTAACTTTGTTCCTTCCGTAAGGCAAAAATAGAAATGAAACATTGTTTTGGTTAACAAATAAGAACTTAAATGAAAGTAAGGGTGAGAACGTAAGATGCCAGGAAAGCGTAGGCCTGATTCTGAACTGGCAGAAGAAATACTAATCCCTGGCGTGAATTTTCAAATTTGGAGCCAGTAAACGAAATGGTGATACAACAGGGTCTAGTCTCAGGGTCTTTATTCAGTCCCTGACAGGAGAGGTTGGGAATAACACAAAGATGACACCCTTTCATTCACAGGAACGTCCTTTTTCTTGCTTTGGTTTTTGATTTTCTGGATGGATCCAGATAGTCCAGTCCTTAACTGAGGAACAACTGAAAGTGCTTTTCTTCCAGAGAATTTCTTCTAGGACTTGTAACAATTGAATAGATGTAAACTTATATGCAGAAGAAAGGTGGAATTATTTTGGTTTTGATATATATGAAAGATTGCCAGGCCTGCCAAGTTGGGAGAAAAACAGAGATTGACTCAATCTGAATGCAAAGGTTGCTTTCACTCAAGATAGTCCTAATAAAACTTCCTAGTTTCTTGCATATTTGTTCTGTCATTGTTTATTCCCTACCAGTATTCTCAGTAGTATACTTTTCCATGGTGGATTTCTCTCTATCTTGCAGAGGTGAAAGCTTTTTCTTTGCTCAATAAGAGAGAGGGTTTTGTAGAGTTTTTTGTTTTACTTTTATCTATTTGCTTTAAAGTTATTTTTTATAACTTCAAAAACTATTGATTTCTTTTCCCAGTGCCCAAAAAAGAAACAAACAAGTAGGCCATAAACAGATGAATGACAAACATGTTTTTACTAATGCGTCATAAATCACAAATAATACTGTTTTCCATTTTTCAACCAGCCATGATACTGAATATTGCAAGAGGCTTCTGGATCCAGCAATCTCACCAGTTTATATGGCAAATGCATTTCAATTCCATAGCTGTTTTCTGTAGATAGCAGTGTACGTCAGCAGCACAACAATGTTTGTTTCCATTGCAAAGCTCAAGTCTGACACTATTCATTTGGTGTTTACGTACATCATTTCCTAGCAAAAATAAAAACAACCCCAAGAAGAAAAAAACCCACACACCTAGCTTTTTGGCAAAGCCAAAATCCAAGAATCTTTTGGGTTAAGTATTATTAAACCCATCATTTTCACAAATAGTAAAAATAATAGAAGGCGCCTCGTAATTCATTTGCTTACGTTACCACATAGTGATAAGACAATAAGCTGAACATCTTGTACCTTGATGTGGTTTCCATTAAGACTAATACTTGCCAATGTAGATCATCAGACTGCAGTAACAGTGATTGTGCTGATAACCGACCTCTAGAGGTAACCAGTACCAGATCCTTCATACACAAAGAAATCCAAAATCGGGGAACAGCTCAGTCAAAGGGAATTTCCTTACGTCGCGAAGCACCTACAAAATGGATGTAGTCTTATCTGCTTAAGGATTTACATCCCGCATTTTATTCTATTAGATTAGTCTAATTCTGCTGAACTGCTAGCCTCTGTCAAGTTTTATAGAAGTAAGCAAGCTATATGTTGTGTTCTGTTGTTTTCTTCAGACACCCTATCAACAAAAGGTATTGGAAGAGTTGCTTAAGTTAGGCAGACTGCCCAAGGAACTAAGGGGTGGCAGAACTGATCTTGAGACTGTGTTTATAGAGCATGCAGAGGGCAGCCTTGAGACAGTCCTGGCAACCCCACACAGAACGTGAATTCCTGAGCAGGGTCTTGGAAATCGCGGACGTGTTCCCTCTGGACTGCTGCGCTGGGACCGGCATGCCCGGTGGGTTGCTTTGTTGCCGTGTGCACCTACAGAGTCTGCACTTGTGCAGTCTGGGTGCTGCACGAGCCCGAGTCTCCCGTTCTCTACAGATTACTTTTCCAGGTATTAGGTTATAAAGGATAACTCAAACGCTTATTACGAGGGAGACAGAGAAGCCTCATTTTTGAGAGATGCACTATTGTATAAAACTTATTTTCTAATATATTTGCATATGTATGGTAGTACATTGATTCTGTATGTTCTTTAGAAACACATATAGATGTCATTATTGGTGTATATTTAGATATATAAATGTGAATATATTGTACATTTTGATATTTTATAATTTTTTTAAATGTCCGTCACTAATCTTTCCATATATCAGACACACAAAGAAATAATTAATTCTTAACTGACTTTCTTTGCCAAGTGATCGGCCTTAAAAGTATTGAACTTCCTTATTGCTGAGATGTGTAATATTCTAAATAAAAACATCTAATAAAGCTAACAAATACTTGAATTAACCAACTGAGAAATTACTGCAAAGAAACATCCTGAAAGAGATTTAGGGGGGGAGAAAAAAAAGATGAAGGGGAAAATATGGACAACATAAAATATTCATATTGTCAGCAAACAAGGAGAAAATGTTTCTTTCATAGAGCTAGACAGAAGCGATATAGGAAATAGATATGCTCCATGTAAATTTATTAAGTGCAACTCTCTCTCTCTCTCTCTCTCTCAGATAAAAAACCTCTTCATGAAATAAAATCCCAAAGTAATTTATTTTTTTTCTCTTGTAAATATGATTTTTCTCATCTTCTCTGCCAGTCTGTTTTATTTGTCTAGGAGCTAAATAAAACTGAAGGTTATATGAAAGGCTTTCACATCTACTGACAGCATCTTCTTAGCAACTTTGTGATCATAGGTTTTAGACTAAAAATAGAAAAGTGACCGTTCTTTAGTAATTTGTGTCTGATTGGGGGCCCTTTCTACAGGGCTGCTTGTCTTGAAATTGATCTCTTGAGGACTTGTAATTAGAAAAAAAGAAATTAATACAGGATTTTGGTTTTCTTGGTTCAAATCTGGTTCCACTACTGGCTCTGTCTGATCTTGTTCAGCTTACTTTGGCCTTGATTTATCAGCTGGTAAAGGGTGTTGATATGCTTTACCCTGTGAAGAGTATATAGATATCATTTATATACTGCTTTGGGGGGCTTCTCTCCTGTACTCTTTGTTTCTTTGTCTTCCATTGATTTCAGTGGAATTTTAGTTTAGAGCAGCACTTTGGAGTGAATTGACTAACTGACAAGATTTCATTAAAAAAAAAGAAAAAAAAAAGACCCAATTTTCATCAAAAGCACAATTTCCATGAGGCCTATCTGTTTTAAAGTGAAGACATTGCTTTTTTTTCTTCCATTAACTGTACACAAAGTTTTGAGGATTTTTGACTGCTTAATTTTCAACAAAAAATTGTCTTTAAAATTTGACAAATATATTTATAAACACATTTTTGGCTTAATTCCTTTGAAGGACTTAAAACAAGAATTAACCTGTACTGAGAAGTAACGCACGCAATTATTTATATGTTCTTTGAAGACAGATTCTTCTATTATGTATTACAAAATACGTAGGTTTTAAGTCTGAGTATTCCTCCAGGATATAGGGGCATAGGGTGATCAGATTATTTGAAGTTTTATGGAACTTGGGCTCTAAATCATTAGGAAAACATTTGGAAATCCTAACCTGAACTATATATTTACTTTGAGCTCACATGCTGTAGACTGCAATGTCAAAACATTCTGCAGCAAAATTTCTTGCTGGCTTGAATGAAGCCTGTTTGGTTATCAGATCCCAGAGTACTCCTCTGTCTGATAAAACAAGAGTTTTAAAGGAAGTGGTCAAGTTCAAATCCATGTTATCCACAGATAACTTCATAACTATTTACAAAGGAACGGAACTAAATTGCAGCAAAAATGTGATGCAATAAAAATAATAATTATAGAGGAGCACAGTTATTGTCCAAGATGGCTACAAATCTTGGTGAGTGAAAGGTGTTTGGCTTTTTAAAAGCTCTCAGTTTTTAATATGGTGTAGTTATGTAGGGTGTGTGACAGCCACCCAGCTTCACCCTTTAAACGGTTCTGAATACGTAGAAAGCCTGCATGAGAATATTTCTCCTTTACGCTTCCAGTTCTTAAGTATTTCTAAGGGTACACAAAATCAAATTTAGGTAGCTCAAAAATGTGCTGTGGTTGCCTTGGCTGCTTAAGCCTTTTTAATTTTGTTTTGTCTTTGTCTCACTGGAATCGACTCCTAACTGGTCACATACAATTGGACTGTGTCATAACTTAGCTCAGGCAATTGATATGTTTTTGTTTATCTGCGCAGTTCCCATTTAATTAGAGAATCTTGAAAGAATATCAGTCCAATCGCTTTATTTTCTGATTTATTAAAAAAGTAACTTTAATGGAATTGATTTTAGCATATAAGATACCTAGGAGAATTAAAGGGTTTCTTTATAGCTGTGGGGTTAGAAACATGTAATACAGCTTGTTGCTATTCAGTGAAACAGGAACTTAGTTTAAGACTGCATGAATCATCATTGATGCAAAATCAAAGTCAATTATGAAGATAATTGAGAAACAACCTGTTCTACGAAATAACCTCTTACGTGATTCTCCGACTTTTGATCTTTGTTCTCAAAGACTGGCTATATGAAGAAATGGACTTCAAGTTGCTAAGGGGTCCCAAAAGTGAGAGTGATGGAAAACTGGGGGAGGATGGGAAAAATCTTTCAGCTCTCCTAGCAAACTAATGGTAGACGGGGGGAAATGTATGCCCTGCATAGCTCCTGGAAAGCACTTATTGTAAATGAGATAATTTAATCAATTACGTTTCCTAATGTACTAAACCAAATGTTTCATTTTCTGCTCCTGCACATCTTAAATTATCTTCAGGTGCTTTATGAAACTTAATCATAGTTAATAGAAACTTCATTACCATCAAATGTGCTTTCAATAAATGTTGTGTAACAGTGTCAGGAGGTGGAGTGAAATATAGGCTACAATTACCACAAACATGTATCCTGTAACTGAAATGTATAAAAATCGTAGTGCTTTACCGGAGTCCCTATCTCCTCTGAGCTGGGAGGATGCAGTTCATTAAATAGTAATTGGTTGACTATAAATGTCTTCTTTTTCAGTTTGTTTGTTTTTCCACTTTGTTCCCTTCTGGGAAAAAATAAAGGCAGAAAATTACCCCATTCCCCAAATTTGCCATGCTTTTCTTTTTTCTTTAATTTCTAGTCTCCAATGGAAAAGGAATTATCCATAAGAAAAGATAGAAAGGAGAAGAGATTAAAATTACTTTAAAAACCCAGTATTTGTTTCTAAAGAAATACTAACGTCCTAAATAAAAATGGAAGTCCCCTTTCTTAAGCAGTTGTGTTCCATAGGAACAACTCAAAGGAATATCATGTCACTCTTGTTTTACTCTTTTAAGATAAATGGTTATGGGAACACTTGAATAACTCATCCAGGTCTTCTATGAAAGAGAACAATGACCATTTTATTAAAGATAAGGAAATTCAGAAAGAATAACTGTAAGAGTTTTTAATCATATAATTTATAGAAAAGTGTCAAATTCAAGTTCTAGGGATACTTAAAAGCATTCACTGAAAACAAAATTATTCTCTCCAGAAAAATTTTGCTTGAGTCAAACTGTTCTCATTTTTTTAAAATTCTGTATTCTTGCTCTCATCTTTAACCCCCCGTGTCCAACAGTCTTGTGCAGTTATAAAAGTATAAAACTTAAATTATCTGATGTCTGAATCGATTGAATAGAAGCAGCTAAACTATTTAAATAGATTTAGAGTAATAAATTACAGTTACTGACAGGTGAGAGTTTGAGGTGTGTTTTATATTCTGGTTTTGATGGTGAAAGATCAGCTCTTATGTTTGCTACCTGTTGCCATTATGGTGGCAGTAATTGTTTACCGACAGGTTATTTCTGCATGTTTCAGACTTTATTATCCCAAGAACGTAGATGAGCTAATTCAGATTTTTCAGCACTTTTCTGTTTTCAGGTAACGATCAAAATGGAAGACTTAAAGATGGTTTATGGTGAAATAACTACCAGCTCACTAGGTTCTCTAGGAAGGAAAAGAACCCGCTTGCTGTTAGGTTTCTTCTACCGCTGGAGATACGTAGCATTCCTGCTCTTGGCTTACTCATTGTACTAATTACCCACAAAAAATAAGTCAACAATAGAGTTTCATAATTAATTCCCTGTAACAACAAAATAGCTTGGGAATAGAAAATTGGAAGAAATAGAAATGTAATTAGTTTCTGTACTTTTCTTTCTGCACCTGATACTAGAGAATGAAATGGAAGTAAACCAGTATGTGATTAAGGCATTGGATTGGGATTCAGGTAGTCTTGGTTTTATTTGACGTATTTCCAGTCTTCCTTTGTGACCCTGTATTTTTGCATTTACTTCTTCCATCTGGCATAGGAGAATGTGGGCATCTCCCATTGTTAGTCTAACACATTTACATTGTCAGCTAACAGGTTACTTTCTAGAATTCCTAACTCTGAACTGAAAATGCTTAAAATTCTCTTTACAACATTTTTCAAGGGAGCATCTCGTGGAAAAAAATGGGAAAAAAAGGCCTCAGAAAAAAAATCTTTCTAGTAATTTATTTAGTAGAACTGTGTGGCAATTGTTATGTTCTAAGAAGTTGGATAAGAGCTACTTACAAGTTTATTCAGTTGTGATTATTTGTCATGACATACCACAGAAGATGGATTTCTTCTGAAAAGCTGATATTTGCATGGAAACTTTGTGGTTCCCCCACCCCCTTCTCAGCAAGTTCTAAACGTGTTAAAAACGGAAACCCTTTTCAGTATGATGTTGTTTGAAAATTCAACAGCTGCAGAAGTATTTTCTGGGCTAAATAGTGGTCCTAGTAAAACTGATTTCAAAACATTTATTTTGGGATGAATGGGATGTTGGAATGTTGTTTCTGGGGTTGACTGGGAACAGTTTTGAGAATGGAAATGGGATGGAAAGGGTGTTTTCTATTAAGAAAGTTTGAGCCAAACAGTTTATTTTACTTTTGATTCAACTGCCCAACTAAAAAATCGGTTACATTGCCTTATTCACAGCAAATCTCCATGTGCTCCAGCCCACTTAAAGCAGTGTTTACGTACTCAGTTTCCTTGCTGCTGCAAGTCATATGGCATTTCACTTATGTTAGAGAACAGTCGGTACTCAGCAGTTGCGTTTGGCAGCTGATGCGCCTTCCCAGGAAGTTCAGCTGCTTGTATTGTTAGTTGTCAGGCGTTTAGTTTACATAAGAAACTGGCGAGCCAGGAAAATTAGCTTTTCTGATGCTGCCCATAGGTACACATTTCTTTCATCTCAGTGGTCTTAAGTTTCATGTTCATTTTAAAAACTCAGCTAAAATAAAGTTATCCGACTTTCTGCAGAAAAACATATGCACAATAGAAGCCTCCTCCCAAATACTAATTAAGTAATTTCAGTAATTGGCTATTTATTAAATGCTGAATTTAACTTCCTACCCTATTTCTGTACATTGCAGTTTATTTACTGATACTGAGTAGTCTGAATTTCCTAATTATTTTTTCTGTCATTTGTTATAAATCAATGCACTTTCTGTACCAAGTGCTTCTCACTTGACAGCAGAAGCACTGCATAGGAGGATAACAGATGATGTATAGGGTGAATACCTGATTATCTCTTCCTCTAAGCTGGAGTTTGGCATTAAGGAACTATCTAAGGACCCACTAAGTGTACTTGCCAAGTAATTTAATTTCATGGTACGTGGTCCCAAATCCCAGAAGATCTAGAATAGCGGGACTGGATAATTCAATTACATAATATTGCAGGTTTCATTTGGATTCATTCTTTCAAAGCAATGAATTCTTCTCTGCTGTAAAAGTTTGAAGTCTTAGAAAACTTGGTTGTAAGCTTAATGCATGGGTGTGATCATGGGGAAGGTTCGGTTTCCAACCTATTTTTAAAGACTGAGATGCTTGCAGGAATCCAAGATGATATGTGGGATCTCCTCAGCCCCTCTCTGAGCTGTGAGAGGATGGACTGTTCCTTCTTATACCAAAACTCACACAGACAATAAAGAGGGGGGAAGGGGAAATCTTCACTAAGAATTTTCAGGGGATTCATGACCTCCTGGATTAGCTCCAGAATTCAAACCTAAAACTTACATGTCCCTGGAAGCTAGCAATAGATGAGACTCATGCTGATACCTGAAGCAGCCCTCCCTAGCTGCAGTTGTTCCACATCCTCCCTTTAAGGGCTGCATTACCATACCTTAATGATCTCCACTGGGCTGGAATGGGAAACAATGGCATGCCTCAGCAAGGAGCCCAAGCTAGCAATGTGTGCTGATGAGAGAGAAGGGTATTTAGTGGTAAGCGCTCTGCTTCTCACTGTTACGAGTCCAAGTCTCCCATTTTAAAAAAAACTGTAAAAGACCATGATGCAATCCCTGAAACAATGTAAGCTCACCTATATGGAGTGATGCATCAGGAAATTTGCTCGTGCTTTCAAATGCTTGCTTTTCAGTGTTCCTTTGTGCTCCACTATCCTGCTGTGATCTGCTCCACATTTATGTCTCAAGCTTTACTGCTCTGGCCTCCTATAACCCCCTTTGCTCACGGCCAGCCAGCACCAGTCAGAACGTTTTCATGAGTGTTGCTGACTTGGTACCCACTTTTTCTCCTTTCAGATATTGAGACTGCCAGTGACATTGCCTTGTACTCTGGCCTGGGAGCAGCAGTCATTGCTGTAGCTGTGCTGGTGGTTGGCGTTACCCTTTACAGACGGAGTCAGAGTGAGTACGGCGTGGATGTGATTGATTCATCTGCACTGACAGGAGGCTTCCAGACATTTAATTTTAAAACAGTTCAGACAAGGTAGTGTTGTGATTTCATTTTCTTCTCTCCAGAGCTCCTACTGCAAAGAGATACTGAGCTCAATGACTGGCTGTGGGAGGGCATTCCAGCTTATTGCTGAGCAGATGTGTTGAAAGCCAGGGAAGGGCAGCTGCAGTACAAGGAACAGGATCTGGTGGTTAGAACCATCTCTTACTGTCTCTGCTACTGATCTGTCATGGCAACTTGGACAAATACATCATCTTTCTTGACCACTAAGTGCTTTAGAAATACCGTCACTAGCTTCTACACTGACATTTGTGACTTACAAAAAGCCCAAACCAACCAAACCAAACCCAGAAAGCATGTCTGTAGTTCCTTCCTATTCAGTTACAGATCTTCTATTTTCTTTACTCCAATAAAAGTGATTAGTTTTTTACTGTTAATTTGAGAAACCCAACTTTATTTTTATAAGCTGCTGTTATCATGCAAACATCCACATTCTGAGGTCTGTGGGAGAGATGTGTGTAAACGTGTATTGATTAAAAAAACAAACAAACTTCAGAAAGCCACCAATACAATGAAATATGGAAGAAATATTTACTTTTACTAAAAGCAGCACTCAGATGTTTTCTGGAATATTATTTCCTTTGGACAGAAAGGTGGGGAGGAATACAAGTGGTGACTACTTTAAAATAGTATGTTTCTTTAATTCCGTACTGACATTCTAAAATGGACACCTGCCTTATTGTGGGTGGGTGGGTGTGAAAGTATCCCCATGTCTCTTCTCTCTTCGGAAAAGTGAAATATGTTGCAGAGTTTGGGTTTTTTTTGTGGTGGTGTTTTTACAGTTCCTCACCAAGCGTAAATTGCCAGAAATTGGAAAACGGGCTTGGTAGACAAGGATGTTTGAAGGATGTTTACTCATTCATTTCAAATTCCAGGCCTTTAATTAGCGTAATGTAATTCTCAATGACTGTCTCAAATAGTAACTTTCTCCTTTGCTCAGTTTGCCACTGAAGCCTTGTTTTGAGTCTGGGGAACTGTTTGTTTGACTTAATGTTTCAGAAACATTAGTTCTGGACACTGAAAATATCTGAGTGCACCAATTTCTCTTATGCCAGGATGCTGTTAGTTCAGTTTCATTTACTTTGGGTTCTCTGTCTGTGGGTTTTTAAATAAGAGCATTTGTAAACTAAACAATTCTGCTAAAAAAAAAGGCCAGTTCTCTGTTCAGTTTGCTGAGAAAAGAGAGCACGATACTGACATACAGACAATGGATTAGAGTGATCCAAATTTTATTCTTTGGAGAAATGTATTTATAATGTTAGCACCCCAACCTGCAGTCCCTTAAAGTGATCAGATTTTCAAGGATGCAGTACAGATAGATAATTTCCAGAAAATTATTTACTTTGGAAAACTTCTATTTATTAGAAACAAACCAACCAAAAACCCCCACAAAAACAAACAAACAAAAAGACCAAACCAGCTAAAGGATTCAGGCCCTAAATCTATCCATGCCTTCTCTTTTTTCCAGAGTGTTTTCTGAGCTAAAATGCTCCTAAATGAATAACTCCAGTATTTTTCCGTATATTACTCTTGTCCCGCTTTCTTTTCAACCCAGTTTCCCTCAGGCATGAAGCTATTGTTTCGTGTAAGCTCACAGGAAAGGTCTGCAGGAAGATGTGTTTTCACCCAATGGGTTTTAATTTAAAGAAAAAAAAGAAAAAAGGCATACGCACAAACCTGAATCCAAAACAAGAAGGAAGTTCCTTCTTGGATTCGTGCACTCTGGAGTTGTCCAAAGTGCAGAAAACATAGCGATCAAGTACCTGTTAGATCTATTGCATCATTTCATCTGTTTTTTAACATTACCTTATGTGATTTTGAGCTCTTGAGCGTATCAGGAAGGAAGAGCAAGTCAAAAAGGAAATGGTGGAGAGGTCAGAAAGAGGTTTCAGATTTAACGTCTTAATACAGGAACTAACTCCCTGATCTGCTTCATTCTACCAGGTAACTCCCTGCTTTTGAACTCATCTATGCAGCCTGACTTGACAGTGAGCAGAACATACAGTGGACCAATCTGCCTGCAGGATCCCATGGACAAGGAGCTAATGACAGAGTCTTCACTGTTCAACCCACTGTCAGACATCAAAGTCAAAGTTCAGAGTTCATTCATGGTGTCCCTAGGGGTGACAGAGAGGGCTGAATATCATGGAAAGGCACATTCTGGGACTTTTCCTCATGGGAATAATAGAGCTTTTGGTACAATACAGGCTAGAAATAAGGCTACATATATTCAGAACCTGTCTTCTATTTCAACAAGAAGTGAGCTGAAGACAACTGCCATTTTTGGACACCTGGGTGGCCGTTTAGTGGTTCCAAACACAGGTGGGTAGATCCTTTCTCATTAAAAGCATATAAAATAATTTCAGATTAAGCTTTTTTTGCCTGATGTCATGTTCTGTAACTAAAGGAAAAAAAGGAAAGAAAAGAAAAAGTAGGGGCTCCCTTAATGCAGATTTTGGGAAGTAGAGCATGTTGCCCACACAGGAGATGACTGATCAGAACAAAGCTTGGGATGAGTCGTAAAGAGGCATTATGTCTATTTGAACTGTTATAAATTACTGCTTCACTTGATGTCTTCAGCATGAAAGTCCTATTGATCAAAGCTGTTGCCTACTTGGATCCTGATCCAAAAGAAGGGCTCCCCAGGAAGGCAGTCGATATTGGATCAGCATCTTGTATAACGGGGTCATATTCAAAGCAGAATCTACATGCATCAACATCTGACTGCGTTAACATTGTCAGGCTTCATTACATTACTGAAGTCTGCAGTATCTAACAAACAGATGTCTCTGGAGAATAGCTTCCACTCTCAGTGAAAACTCGTGTGGCTTTCGTTAGCATTTACTCCTGACTTTCTGGTTTTCTCTTTCTTTTAGCTTAATAGCTTGACAGATTTCCACAGTGGGGCACTTCAAAGTCAACTGGCATTTCAAGATTGGGCTATGCACCAAAACATCGCAGTAGAGATGCTCAATTTGCATTGTTTAAGAAGTAGAATTTGTTTTGTGACTTCAGAGTTTTGAGACACGTATTTTAGACTTAAGAAATTGTTTGTTAAATTAGCTGAAAACATAAAGGCATCAATACAGAATCAAATAAAGGATGTTAAAATCATAGTCCTGCAGTATGTTGCACTACATCACTATGTTTGTATCATGCTGAATAAAATCCCTTATGTTGGATGCTTTCTTTTTCAAAATGGCAAATGTAGCAGAAATAGCCAGCTACCACCATTGCTAGCTAAGAGGATCTCTTCCAAACTCTTTATTCACTTGAAATTCAACTTTGATTTCATTTGACTAGTGTGTCCAGGCTTATCTCTTAGTATCTAGTTGAACTGAATGCTTTAGAGCATTTATCCTTCATGTTTCATAAAACGGGTACTTTAAAGGGTAAAATAAAAAATGTGGTCTGTATTTAGAGAAGATTGATAACAGTATATAATTCAGGGATATAATATTTCATGTACAATCATGCACAACATATGGAATGTGTTCATTTCTTCACAGATTATGTTCAGGAATGAATATTACAAAGGCAGAAGCACTAAGTCAATTAAGCCATAAATGAAGAAGTCCCTCATACTATAAATTTAGCTACTTATATAATGATAGTCCCGTCAATTAGATTATTTAAATACCTATTTGGTCCGCTTGCAATTTATGTACTTCCTTCTGCCTGATTATGTAAGATCAAATTTGCTAGCCAATTGTAAATTATAGTGCAGTCATTTTAGTACTTAGCTGAGGTTCTGCATTGTTTGACATACGCAAAGTAAAAGCTAGTCTTCCTGTATTGAGTATGCTATACAACAGTTTAATTTCACTGGTACCCAGTGGAAAGCATCCTTGTTAACTTCTAATTTATACTAGTGGAGTAAAAGGAAAATCATATCACATGGATTCACTAGTTGTTACGTATATGAACAAAAAGGTATGGTGATTTCCATGCAAATTCAGATTAATTTGGTTAGGTAGTCTCTCCATTATGAGATTCCTTGTGATCCTAGAATTATTAGATTTGATTTCAAAGTCAGAAAGGGGCAAAGAGGTTTCAAGAAAAGTTTAAACCATGATCATGTCTTGTAAAACATGGAGCTATGCAGATGACAAGATGTGTACCACTAAGAGGCATTTTGGCAAATACGAGTGAAAGAGCCAACAAATGATGAAAATCTTTCGTAACTGGCTTGCCCTTACTGCCTTGCAGAAGCTGGCAAAGGCTAACTTAAAAGTTACCAAAGGCACACATGCTTTTGACTCTATTTATTATTTAAGGGGAAAAAAAAGGAAAAGAACAATTAAATAGGGAACGCAAAAGAGCCTGTTCTGTTGCTGCATCAGATAAAAGACTGTATCAGGGTAACAAGACCATCAAAATGACTGGGATTACAAACCACTCTTGCTGGAAGCCTTAAGGAAACAGCTGATTGTACCTTTTGTTTCCATAAATGATTCCTTTTTGTATAAGTAGTGAAGCAGACAGTCTGCCTGTACCCAAGGAAGAAGAGAAGCCTTCAGTCACATCTAGACTATGAATCCAGTGTCATTTAGTGACACAAAACAATGGGAAGTCAACTATTTAAAAGCTCTGTTGTAGCAAGAAGTTTTTAAGCATATGAGTCTATATAGTTCCAGGCTGTAAGACAGTTAAATATTAATAACTACGTGGATCATATTAATAATGTATTTTCCTTTACATTTATTATCCAATCTGATAATGTTGTAGTCAGAACGACTATTTCAGAGGAGCATTCTTCTGCTCTAGTAGGTGGCCTTTCTAGGTCTTGTAAATCAGAGGCAAATTGTGCATTGTTCTTTACGTCCAGTGCCTTTCCCAAAGGTAAGTTCTGCCTTTGCTCTTTTGTAGGAGTCAGTTTGTTGATACCACATGGAGCTATTCCTGAAGAGAGCTCATGGGAAATCTCTCTTTCCATCACTCAAAAGGAGTCCAGGTAAGAAATAAATAAAAATCCTCACACACATCCAGAATCTGTGGAACTATCTCATTGAATGCATTTCTTGTCAACACTGTCTAAAGGAATGGAATGTGCAAGAGTCACTCCATCTTCCCTGTTGCTGGTGTGACCACACTGTTGTGACATATGCTGTATCTGTATAAATGACAGCAAAAATGATCTTTGTGTGATGCTTCTGTGAAATCACATGGAATTATTGCAAATGGATGTGATACCTTGACGAGACTGATGTATGATATGTGCTGAATTCCGAGTCAGTGATTTTATCATTTTTGATTTGCAGGCTTACGGCATGCAAGTCTAGTAACAGCACAGGTGCTTTCATTAATTACTTGTTATAGAACCTTTGGGTCCATAGACTCTTGTGCAGACAACAGGTTAAAATTCACTATCCAGGTCATCAGTCTGAATGACCCTGTTGTATGTAGGTACTGAATTGTTGTTACTTCATGACAGATGTTTGGTAGCCTAGATGATGCGAATAAGTGAATGCTCAGGACCATTTCTTAAATTACTTTGTTTTATAAATCACCATTAAAATCTGTTCCCCAGCTGGATTTGCCAGCACCAGCTGATGAACAGTAGAAATTAAGCTGCACTTTGATCCTTAGGGTTTTTTTTTTCAACGTTGCGTCTGGTGGGACAAGAAGGTGATGTTTGAAATACTGGTGGTCTTTCATAAATAGACAAGTTAGTTCTCTGAGGTTCTCAAGGTTTCAGCTCTGTCATATTTATTTCAAAGACAAGAAGGAAAAAAAAGGAAAACAAACAGAAGAACTATAGTTTTGGCAAATGTGGGTCATTGGGGTTTTTTAATGTTGCTGCACCATGTATGTTGCAAATGTCTGTTGTACAAAAGAAACCTAGCTCATTTCTAGATGCTTTTAAAACTTTAAAAATGTTCTGTTAGATGCATGGCACTAAATTCTGTTGCAGCTGCACATGTGGGCGTTTTCATCGATGCCACTGCAATCACTTCAATTGCCTTCATTCTGCATTAGAAAGACAATGGAATTTGGCCCAAAGTGCCTTGCTTTAGAATGGATCTTCCCCTTTATTTTTATGAATAAACATGGCCAGAGAAACAGATGGTTTTAGCAGATTTTGATAGCTGTTCCCATAAAAAGACTTCCTAGCAGCTTTAATTTTCACACAACATGGATTATAAAGAATCAAAGTGCTCTGCGTTCTCTTTGAGCCTGACAGACCACACATCAGCAGAACCCAAGTTTAGTTCAGTTTGCTTGCTTGGTTCACTCGCTTTCAGCTAGAAACTGATCAAACCCTACAAGAGAGTAAAATTACAAAACTGGTGTGTAATTGAGTGTAATTCAGGAAATGAAGAGAGCTTCTTTAATCTAAGTGTAGCATTCTCACTAGACTAATACCTGGATTCGGAGGGAAGGTAAAGCTTATGAAATGCTAGCCATAGTGTTGAACTGTTGAGATTGGTAGAACATATTGTCATATTTAGACCTACGTTTGGGTTTTTTTTCTTCCTTAAGACCATTTTTTTGTTTGTGGTGGGTTTTTTTCATGAGGTAAAAGTTTGCATTATTTAGTTTCTCAGATAAGTTTATTCTAAAGTGAAAACTTCAGAGAACTATTATGTTTGGTTCTTGGCAAGTTCCATGTAAATTTAAGGGACGTGAGAGATACCAGGGTTTGCCCTACTCTCTTTAACAGCTGAGGTGAAAAGTGCTAGAAGAGCTTAGGGTAAAAAGTGCAACCATTCATTAACTAAATAATGTGTCTAGTTGCCAGACCGCCACTGGAGTGGCCCACAGTGGCAGGGCTGGGTTGCAAGTTGCCCATGAAGAACTAAAATGCATTTGAAGTTAAGACTTAAACATCTTGTCTGAAATTCCAGTAGTAGAAGAGCCCACAGTGGCAGTACTGGGTTGCAAGTTGCCCATGAAGAACTAAAATGCATTTGAAGTTAAGACTTAAACATCTTGTCTGAAATTCCAGTAGTAGAAGAATGGGAGAGAAAAACAGGAGTTTGATCTCAAGTTACTGTCTAGACACTAAGCAATACTTAAGATACCTCTCAAATTACTAAAGCTTTTAGTATTATTAATGACTAGTCGTGCTGTCTACTGTCAGCATGAAACCTCCACCTATTGTCGTAAATACTTTTCCCAATTCCTCTCCCCATGCAAGCATTTGAGTTTGAACAATACATTAGAAACTTCTCTTATCAGTTTGTTTTGCTCCCATTTCCTGCCTGTGTCTTCCAGGAATTTGTGTCCTTTTGCAGGTAAAATACAGGTAAATATACCCTGTCACTTAGCTTCTTGGTGAGGTATTACTCAGGAAAGCCTGCCACTGTCATTCTGGCTTACATACTTTATTCAGGTATATCCCCTCCCATCCCCGGTTTAAGGAACCTTGATGTTACCCTTAAAAGATTAAGTGTCAGCAAACATAGAACATTCAAAAATCTTGGGCTCAGCCTTTGACTTGTGCACTACACTCTGGTATGTATGATTTAAGGCTTTGTTTTCATTACCACTAAGTACCACCCACCTTCTTCACTTACTGTTTACAATGGGTTTTCTTTATTTTGTGACTCTGTCAAATCTAAATAGAGTCAGTCGAGTGCCTGGATGAGACCTCAGGAATATACTCATACTGCAGGCAGCAGAAATGGCAATTTACATCTCTTTTACAGTGCTGTTCACCTTGGCATCCCTCCCCTTTTCTATGCTAGATAGAGCTCTACTGCTGCAGGTAGGCCTCTACGACTAAACCAAACTTCTCACCTCCTGCTGTCACTAAAGGTATGTAATGATGGTTTTAAAGAAAAAAATCATTAAAGCCAGAGTCTTTCCCCCATTTAAACCTAGAGGAACATCTAGGTACCAGACATCAACTTCTAAAGTAGTAAGGTATTCTGTGTCCTTAAACTGTCACATGCTACTCTTCCACACTTCTGAACAACCATGTTTCAGCAGTGGACAAAGCAATCTCTCTACTGCCCTTCTCTGGAGGATAAATAACTACTAAATCTTTTGAGATTGTCAGATGAAAAGTGACAGGGATAATCAAATTTTATTTAATTGAAATAAGCTACTGAAAAGCACTCTACAGTCCCCCCTTTTGAGTCGTTGCCAGAGTCAGCTGCTGCATCTTGTGTGCATCTCTGCAAGTACAAGACCATTTCTTCATCCAGTGAAAAGTGTCAGAGATACTTTAAACTTGCTGAGGAACTGGTATGTGCAGATTCTGCAACAGGGCTCGTTAATTCTGTAATGCAGCTTTGTTCCACTGAGGCTTTTCAGTTACATTTTCTGATTTTTTTTTCCTTGCTCTAATCTAAACTTCTCTTGAATTGATTTCTTCTATTTTTGACGTTGAATCTTTCTGCTGCTCCTAATTCTGCATGAGGCTGGCAAATTGTAGTTCAGTAAGTGCACTGACAGAATTTATTGGTCCTACCTTCACATCCAGTCTTACAAGTTGCAGTGAGGCACTCCAAACAATATTTTTGCAAAAAAAAAAATTCTTAAATAACTTTCTTAGCTTTCTCAAACTACACTTTCATAATTTACATTCCAAACAGAGCTAAGTGAATAATCTGTAGTGTATACTTTAATTGATTAATTTAAGGATAATTTCAGGAGATGTTGGTCCTGGTGAAGAGTGGTTCACTGATTAAGCCTCACTTTGAGTGCTTGTGAGAGGGACAGTTTTTAGACATAGTAGTCAAGGGCAGGTTTGTACAACTGAAGACAGGAGAGTTGGTTATAGTGCTTTACAGCAGTTATTTCTCTTACCTCCCTCACCTTAAATATACATTCAGCTAAAAGCACTGAAAAATTGGTGGGTATACCTGAGGAGATGTGGAAAGACGAAAATAACTGCATATACAGTAAATATTTACTTACAATAACTTACAGCCGAATGATTGCTGGAATTTTCCTTTAGGAACTGAAAGACACAGAGCTGCCTATAAATCCTGAAGCCTAGAAATATTTTTCAAAACTTACAGTGAAATCTATTTTTTTTTCTCCTCTGATTTCTGAACTCCTTCGTGAAAACTTTCATAGTGTATCCCCATCTGCTGCCACAGGTTTTTGATCATTTTCAATGAAAGATTAAGATATGTAAAAGGAAGGAAGAAAAAAAAAAAAAACCCAGCTGTTTTATCTGCAATGGTTCTGCAGAAATGAATTAAAATAGGTTAATTAAAAACAAGCAGCAAATTTTGCCTACAGTTTTCCTTTTTTGTGGGCAGAAGCAGAGGCAGCAAACCAAACTGAAGATTATCACAGGGAGATTTTTCCTTCCTTCTTCTTCAAAGTGAAATTCTATAAAGTGAGACAAAAGCAAACATTCTCCCCCCACCCCAATCAAAATACTGTATTTTTCTTCACGTAGTTGAGACAAGATTGATGTATCTTTCACCCATCTGAACTGGCTGGAATAAACCAGACTTTTCTAGCAGCTGCAGATTGCGCTGATGTGTAGGGAGCCTTCTCCTTTATTGCCCGTGGGCTCCCGTGTTCTGAGGGTGGGAGGAAACGCCAGCAGTTCAGAATTAGTACCCGATTTATATGTGTGTGTGGAAGATGATAGACAGAAGTACTAAACCACACTGCAGCACTGCTATATAAGCATGTGGGCTGTCATGCAGATATCACTAAAATGTAGATGATTGTTCATCTGGACAGGCACAATGCCTGGATGTGGAGGAAGGGTAAAATAGTGGATTAGAGAAAGAGAATAGGTTTTCTTTACTTCACAAGTTTGAAGATGTATCACCATTAAAAATGAAGTCGCAGAAGTTGTATGGTAATCAGTGGAATTTAATTGTGGTGGTGTTGCAGAGATGTGAACTCACCATAATAGGTACTTTATGCATCTTAAATGTGTGTGAGAGAACAAGGATCGTATTGTTCAGATTTAGATTATTTAGGACTAGCGGGTTAGCTGTCACTTCTATTCTAATCTTCATTTAGCTATTGAAGTAG